AGTGTATGGTGTTAGGTTGTGTGGTGTTAGGTGTGTGGTGTTAGTTGTGTGGTGTTGTGTGGTGTTAGTGTGTGTGGTGTTAGTTGTATGGTGTTAGTGTGGTGTTATTGTATGGTGTTAGTTGTATGGTGTTAGTGTGTGGTGTTAGTGTATGGTGTTAGTGTATGGTGTTGGTGTGTGGTGTTAGTGTATGGTGTTAGTGTATGGTGTTAGTTGTATGGTGTTAGTTTTGTGGATATTACCTGTATGGTATTAGTGTTAATTACCATCATTAATATTAACTTACCTATTTTATAATGAATTAATTAGCAAATTTCAAGGTTGGACAAACCTTGTACAGGTGGCCCCGGGCAAGGCTGGACGGCACCACCAAAAATCCTCCACCGAATTTACTGAACCTCCACTAATTTTCAGTTTGAGATCCGTATATATATGTGTGTGTGTGTGTGTGTGTGTGTGTGTGTGTGTGTGTGTGTGTGTGTGTGTGTGTGTGTTTTGTTTTTGTTTGTGTGTGTTTTGTTTGTTTAATGCCTGGATTTAGTCTTGAAACTTATTCCTTATTCCTGGGTTATCTTAGTTGACCTTACCTTAGCTTAACATTGCTTAGCGTATCTTATTGAGGTTTTTTTGTGGTTAAATATGTTAGATTCCGTGGTAAAAGAATTATGGTTTAACCTTTTCAAGACTGATAGATTATAACCCATTAAAGGCGATGGGTAGACAATGCCAAAACGCGTCTTGCATACCACGACGCTAAAACCTTCTACACCTCCGACCGTTGTTTACAGCCCATGTTGTTGTCGTCCAGCTTACCTGTAATGGGTCACCACTGTACACAGGTGAGCACTTTGTTGTGACGCTTACACTGATCTCTGGACCTCTGTATGTAATGTGTCTTCGTCAGAACCTTCCAATTCACATTCTCAATCTCGCACTCTCTCGTGTGTGTGTGTGTGTGTTTACCTTAACTACTTGTTGAGGACGATGACTCAATTCACCTCTCTTGAAGACGATAACTGCCTTAGGATTAGATAAATTTAAATTGTCTTAAATATATAGTTAAAGATAAACCTCTAGTACGATTTTCATTATATTTTCTCCGCCGCCATTTCCTCCCTTAGTATACTGTACAAGGAGACTGAGAGAGAGATACGGTTTCTCATCTCAAGTGGGAGAAATATATCGTAATATATTTTCAGAATCCAGTCGTAAGTTTATCAATCGTTACCAGCATTATTTTATTTTTTTTTACTTTTTTTCTTTTGTTTCTTCGAAGTTTTTTTGCGATTCATCATCCTGTCTGTCTGTCTGTCTGTCTGTCTGTCTGTCTGTCTGTCTGTCTGTGTCTGTCTGTGTCTGTCTGTATTTTTTTCTCTCTTTTTTAGAACGTTAGAGCTCTGTAAGGAACCATGAGTGTGTATCTCCCACTCGTTCTCCTCACTCTCCGTTAATCTCCCACTCACGCCGGCGATAATCCGGTTAATCCAGCCAGATTCTTTCATTATATTCCCTACCCTCTTCAACCCAATGTCGCTTATACACAACGGATAATTTCAAGACGTGTACAGGACGGTTTTAAAACGTGTATTGGACATTATTACGGTTTTTTTTTAGGTCCTGGTCATCATCTTAAGTTAGGGTTAAGTTAGATCGGGTTCGATAAGTTCGATTAATTATAAGCTAGTGAGTTAAGTTTTAGTGTGGGTTAGGCTCTAGATGTAGGTTTAAGTCAGGTGAAGTTAAGTTTAAACTAAGTTGGGTTTGCAAGGTTAGATTATTATTAATTTAGGTAAGCTAGGGTGGGCTTAAGTGTTGTTACAAAGTTATTTATTTGTCTGATCGAAAATTTTTGTTCTGTTGATGCACCGGATTTTAGAGGGAATTAATGTAACAATAAGGAACATTACGGAACTAATCAGCACAGGCCACGCCCTCACAAACGTGGATTTGGTTACGTCGCGTCTTAGACAAGTATAATTGGTAGTTGTTCCCACCTGTCTCCCTCCGTCAGGTGGTTCCTCTTCCAGGGTAATTAACGGATGATTCTCTGATGACTAATTATCCCACGTCAGATCTATAAAATTTACCTAATTAGTGCAGTTACCTGTCATTCTCGACAGCACCACCTGGAGGGATCAGCTGATGCCACTAGGTGTAAACAAGGTTGATTACAATGGCACACTCACCTTTCTCTAGTTAATTACCTCGTGCTGAGATTTATTTGTATTAATTTTATTTTGTCTAGACGTGAAATGATGAAACTATTCAACTATGTAATATGTCAATCGTCGCTCGTATGTCTGTGTGTTAGTGTGTCTGTATCAGTCGTTTTGTCTGTATTCATCTTGTCTGTCAGTTAATATGTCGTATGTAAGGCATTTTGTCTTTGTATTCACACACCACAATACGAAGACTCCCTGGAGGTGAATGAGATCCAGGTAGGTAGGAAACATTCACTCCCTGGGTCACCATTATACCGAGGCGCTGGAACAAATAGCTCGACGCTTTAATTTCTCAGGTGGTTTCAATGAGCCTGTACCCAGCTCATTCAGGAACTAAATGTTGGTTGGTGCTCCAGGCTCACAAAGTCTCTGATCCAATTAGGACAAAGTAGTAATGAGGGTTGAGGTTCCTGTACTTTCCCTCTTTTTTGTATTCCCGTAAGCCTGCTCACCCCGTCTCTCACCCTTGCTACACTGTGGGGAAGATAGTGAACACCAACCAGGGTGTTTACCATTCGTCCAGGAGGTCAGCGTGAGTCTGTTTTGAACGCTTCTTATCGGATATATTAAAACTCTTTATCATATGAGATGTTTATGACGTTGAATTCGTATTATAGTGGATGTATGATGTTTCCTATATCACGTTACATATGTAGTGTTTCAAATACCGTATATATTTTGTCAGTTTATATGATGGATGTTAGATATAAACCACGTTAATTGTTCACCATATGAATTGTGTCATACCATGTTCAACACATTTCCACGGGTCGTCTTTGCGGGTTCAGATATTTATACAAACTTTCAATGGTCAACACATCGAGGGGCTTCCTATTTTTGTCGCCATTCGCGGTTAAATATTAATTCTCGTTTTTGGCGTGGAAATTGCGTTTGACGGTGACGTTATTGTATTGTCGCTTTGTATCGAAAATTTAGCGTAATTAATTTGTCCTTTGTCATGCAGAATCATGTCCACATCAACAATGAATAGCAATTAGTGATTTACACGCACTTTGGGGTGTCAGTCCGTGTGATTTTGTTTTTGTGATTTTTCGGTGAATCTGTGATGGTGAAACACCCTATATATAATAACAAACTGACGAACTGTAAATATTAAACACGGGTTTTGACTGCATCGTTCATTCAGCTTTCTCTTAATAATAATAATAATAATAATAATAATAATAATAATAATAATAATAATAATAATTATAATAATAATAAAAATAATAACAATAATAATAATATAATAATAATAATAATAATAATAATAATAATCCGTCACTATCACAGGAATATGCGACAGGTGTTGTGGTTTTTCGTCACCTGTTACTATGGAACATCTATTAACACCTGGGCATCAAACACACGCTCTGTGGGTGATCTTAAGAGCATAGGATCTCAAATACAGTCCATGGTGTAACTCAGAAGGTAGAGAGATGTAGATGGCGGTGATGTAGAGGCGGAGGAAGGTGAACTGTGGCGTGTTGAAACCTTGGGGATGATTATGTTGTCGTACGTTTGATTCTGTCGAGTGTACTTATAAACTTATGAAATGTGAATTTGTCCAAGTACTTTTTAGAAGGCCTTGACTCTCTCTCTCCACAACACTATTTTCAACATTTTTTTTTGTCAAATAATCGGGTGGTGCCCAAAAGTCGTTATACAAAATTACCACCGAAAGATCACATGAATCTTTTATATTTCCTGTCAATTCCCTCTTCCCCCTCCCTCCTCCTTCCTTCCTCCCTCCCTCCATCCCTCCCTCCCATCCCCCTTTCCTGCTCCTCTCTCACCTTTCCATTCCTCCCTCCATTACTCCCCTCCATTCCTCACCCTCTCCATTCCACCCCCTTCCTCCATTCCCCCTTCTCCTCCTGCCCCCTCTCTCCTCCCTCCCTCACCCTCCCCTCCCTCAACCCCTTCCCCATCCTCAGTCCCCTTCCCCTTCTCAACCCCTTCCTCCCTCAACCCCTTTCCCTCTCTCACCTCTTCCTCTCTCTCTCCCTCACCACCTCCATTCCACTCTTCCGCCACACCACATCCTTCTTCCTCGCTCCCCCTGACTCCCCCCCCAAAAAAAGAACTTTTCCTTCCTGCATAAATTTGAAAGTTAAAATAACTCTATGCTAAAGTTGGCCATTTTCTGTATAACAAAGTTGAGAAGGTAGCAGAGCGTGTTGGGCAATCAAGACAATTGGGGGAGAGACAGACATACATATTCTATCATATATTTGTATGTCTGTCTGTCTGTCTGTCTGTCTATTTCCGCTGTTTTTATATTTTTATTTTATTTTTCTTCTTCCTCCTCTTTATTTTCTTCTTCCTCTTCCTCCTCTTCTTCCTCTTCTTCTTCCTCTTCTTACTGATAAAAAACAACAACATTTACTCCTTTATCTACTTGTCTGTTCTTCCGTCCGTCCGTTCGTCTTCTGTCAGGTGGTGGTGATTGGTAGAGGTGATGGTGGTGATGGTAGTGGTGATGGTGATGTGATGGTTGTAGTAGTGGCTGTGATGGTGGTGATATCGCCGCTACTAATGCTCCTCCTGGCTACACACACACACACACACACACACACACACACACACGCGCGCGCGCGCGCACGTGCATATTCCATTATATTTGTCGTCCCTCTGCCTGGCGAGTTACCGACCGTCACCATCTTCACCATTAACTCTGTGTGTGTATGTGTGTGTGTGTATAGGGGGTGTACACTGGGAGGGACGATGGGAATTTCAACGACAGATGGGGCAGTAGTGGGAGTAATATAATTGTCACTAGTTGTGGTATAACATTTGTGACGGTGTGACGGTTGTGGCGGTGTGACGGTTGTGACGGTGTGATAGTTGTGGCGGTGTGACGGTTGTGGCGGTGTGCAAACGGCCAGACGGCTGTGGCGGTGCGATGAGCTGCGGCGCTGTGACGGCCAGCAGTGTGGACGGCCAGGCTTGGTGTGACTTGGGTTGCATGTGTGACGGTTGTGGCGGTGTGACGGTTGTGGTGGTGTGACAATAGTGACCGTGTGACAGGTGACCGTGTGTGACAGATAGCGGTGTGATAGCTAGACCAAGTGGACAGACATATGCTATGTTAAAGTTGTGTGACAGCTGTATGCAGGACAGAAGTGACGGTGCGGGAGCAGCTGTGGGGGTGTGACAGTTGTGGGGTGACAGCAGCACCGTGTGACAGCTGTGGGGTGAGGCCAGGCATGACAGTAGTGACCGTGTGACAGCTGTGTGACAGAAAGACCGTGTGACAGTTGTGGCGGTGTGACAGTTGTGGGGTGTGACAGCAGACTGTGTGACAGCTGTGTGCATACAGTTGTGGGGTGTGACAGTAGTGACCGTGTGACAGTTGTGGGGGTGTGACAGTAGTGACCCTGACAGTTGTGGGGGTGTGACAGTTGTGGGGTGGACAGTAGTGACCGTGTGGACAGTTGTGTGGGTGTGTGACAGCAGTGACCGTGTGACAGTTGTGGGGTGACAGTAGTGACCGTGTGACAGCTGTGGGGGTGGGACAGTAGTGACCGTGTGACAGTTGTGGGGGTGTGACAGTAGTGACCGTGTGACAGTTGTGGGGGGTGTGACAGTAGTGACCGTGTGACAGTTGTGGGAGTGTGACAGTAGTGACCGTGTGACAGACATACCGTCGTGACAATTATCCTAAAAACTTTGTAATAATTATTGAAGTTCACGTATTTTATTGAAGTTCATCAAACCTTTCATTAGGAATTATTTTGTTTAATGTTATTCGTGGCATCAACATGTGCGACATAACATCAAAGGTAGTGATTATGGTGTTATGTTTTAAAGGTAGGTGTGTGCGTGCGTGTTTGATCGATTGAATTATTTGTGATTGTAGTGTGTGTGTGTGTGTGTGTGTGTGTGTGTGTGTGTGTGTGTTTATATCTGTGTGTGTAGTAAGTATATGTAATTGTGATTGTACGAGTGTGTATTGTATGTATGGTTGTATATTTGTGTTTGTGTAAGTATGCGTATCTCTCGTTGAGTGTCTGTCGCGATAGATACTAGCTTGGGTGGTGGTTATTGTGATTGATTAATTGAATAATTGATTGATTTATTGATTGATTGAATGATTGGTTGATTGATTGATTGATTGAATAATTGATTGATTGAATAATAAGTTGATTGATTGATTGATTGATTGAATAATTGGTTGACTGATTGATTGGTTGCTTCGATGAAAAACGGTCAGCACGAAATGGTTGTTAAAAGAAAGAGCAAAAGAAAGAACCAAACAAAAATACAGGAGACGAAAGAATAAAGTAAGGAAGAAGACCTGATTACTAATCTGCGAAAACTATGTCAATAAACTAATCAGTAAATTAATTAGCACGTAAGACCAGGTGTGTAAGTGGTCACCCTACCTGTAAAAATGTATCATTAAAAGATGAGTGAAAGAATATAATGACAAATAAGGTTTATTAAGGTTAGTTTATTAGTGAATGTAATAATAAAGTGATAATTGATGTCATCTTTGATAATTGATGTCATCTTTGATAATTATCAATTATAATTGATGTCATCTTTGATAATTGATGTCATCTTTATAAGTAGATAAGTAAATGGATGTCAGACCAGATATATAAGTCTTTGTAAATTGATAAATAGGTCTTAAAACTGAACATGAAAGTATTAGTAGTAATAGTTGTAGTATTATCAGTAGTAGTCCTAGTAGCAACAGTGGTGATAGTAGTAATTGTAGTGGCATAGTAGTAGTAGTAGCAACAGTAGTAGTAGTAGTATTTGTAGTATTAGTAGTAACAGTAGTATTGGTAGTTTTAGTAGTAGTAGTACCCTCATAAGCATCACTAACTGCACTCCAGCTCCAGGAAAGAGAGAGAGAGAGAGAGAGAGAGAGAGAGAGGGTATTATAAATCTATCAAATTGTGTTTTCATGGTTGGCCTTTATGCATAAATAAGACCACACGGTTAAGGTCGAAGCGCTCAACTAATGGCAGCTGAGATGAAGTTAAATCGCCACGATGAATTATTGTTCCGCTAATAGGTGTAAACTGGTAGAACTCAATGATTTCAAGACAGTTTTATACGTGGGGTAAATTTGGGGGTTTTGGCCAGGGAAAGGTTCTGTTGAGGCTCTTGTTGACGTGTAGCTTGTTTTAAAGTTAATGTTTTCTGTTTTTTTTCTTTCTTTTTTTAGGTGTATAGTTTTCCGGCATCAGATGAGGGTTGATTTGTTGTTTAAGGTGTAAGAGGTGTTTTGTTTTCGTGAGGGATTTTGTTTTCGTGTTTTTGTTTTGTTCGTGTTTTTTGTTCGTGTTTTTGTTTTCGTGTTTTTTGTTCGTGTTTTTTAATGTACGTTTTATTAATATGGAGTAGTAAGTTATGTGGTACGGGTGCGTCTATAGGTACACACTGACACACACAGGTAACCTAGGTGATGCCTCTGGAGCTGGACTTTTTTTTTTTTGGAGGGAGGGTGGGGCTCTTGGGGGCGGGAGGGGCCGGGGGAGGGGGGAGGAGGGGCTTTGAGGGGGAACTCTTACCACCTGGGCAGTTGTGATGGCGAAAGTATACCCTTGTTTAGCATGACATCCCTTTATAACACTCGCTTGGTTTAACCCTGCCAGCGTGCCCAATCACGGATTTGTTTACATTCTTCTTTAACCAATCACAGCTTTGTTTACATTCTTCTATAACCAATCACTGCTTTGTTTTACATAACCATTCACAGTTTTGTTTTTATTCTTATTTAGCCAATCACGGCTTCGTTTATATTCTATTATAACCAATCACGGTTTGGTTTACAATTTTTCCCAACCAATCGCGGCTTCAGGTACCTTATTCTGAAATTTCCAGGCCGTCCTTCGCCAATGAAAACACACCATTATCATCTAGGCCAGAGGTATCCGTTTGAAATGGTCTCTCCCCACATGGTTCGTCGACCGTAACGCCGCGTCCTCAACACCTCAGCCTATCAGCGTGTGAGTTACTAAGCTCCTCCCACTTTGCTGCTTCAACAGTTATGGTTGGAATATCAATTTAGGTTGTTAGATTGGTCCAATCAGCGGAGAAATGACAGACCCGTAACGTGGCTGATGGTAAGCTGGGGGCGACTCTGACTGTGAAATGTAATTCTAATTCAAAGGCAGGTCATCTATTTTAGAACGAGGAGATAAGGACGAGACGTTGAAATATGACTCTAATTCAAATTCTAACTCCTGTAATCTCAATAGAACATCAAGGTAAATGATAAGGATAGTACAGGTATAAATGATGTCATACAGTGAAAGATAAAACTTGTGGTGGATCCTTACACGTCTCAGCCCCTTCCGTGTGTTATATGTATATAGTATTGTGTGTTGTTAAGTCACGTCTTTATTGTATATTTTTCAGCGAACTATAATGGAGTATTCTGGCAGAGCCTTTATTTTTTATTTTTTTTTTCACAAATAAGTTGATCATATTCATATATTTTTTGAGAAGACGACTCAACAAACAATAGGCAGACCAGGACGTCATGTATAGTGTATGTTGTTAAACCCACTTGTTGCAATAACGAATATGGTACTGTCATAGAGAAGGGTGCGGCGGTCGAGTGGATACAATGCTCAGCTCCTGTCCTGAGAGTTGAGGAAGTGAAGTCTGTCTAGTGCAGTGCCAACCTAACCTAACCTAACCTTATGTACTGGTAGCTTCATCATCCAGTATGTTGTAACCGCTCTGCACCCGGCCCATTGAACCCACATTCACTATTATATAAAAAGATGATGTGGGTGTACAGGTGTAAAATCTTCGTGTACATAATTAACGCAGGTAAAGAATAACATGATACCTGAGGCGGAAGAAGAACGTGTATTAAAAGTCCTTTTTATGGGTACCGACTGCTGACGTCATCCTTAAACACTATGAGAAATTAATATAAGTAAGCATGTTTACATTATTTCTCTAGTGCATTACCGTGTTATATTTACTGTATCACCGTGTTATATTTACTGTAATCACCGTGTTACATTTACTGTATCCCCGTGTTACATAATTATAGTGTACCTGTATAACCGTGTTGCGTAAACTGTATCACCATATCAACCGCAAGAATGTAATATCGCCAACATTTCCCCCAAGAGTTTGATGGTAGAGTAACATCAAAAAGAGTAATATTCCGGGTAATATCTTGAAAATACTCCTTACCATATATTAGCACAACGTCTAACCATAATATCGTAGAAGAATTTTTCCAGGAAACATCAAAAGCCGGTCTAATCCTTTAAAGGCTGGCAGACGACCTTTGACCTTATTTTACCCTGTGTTTAGAGTTCAAAGTGGCCATCGGAGGGTCAGACGTTGTTTACCCAAAGTCCATTACGAACGGCCGATAGATTGTAGACTTCCTGGGCCAACGAATTCACCAATCTATCGTAAAGTAAATATTTCCTCGAAACTGGGGATGGAAAAACGGATCTACCTGGCTGATATTAACGAGAGGAAAGCAGGTAAGGTAATTTTTTTCCTCGTAACTAGAGATGTGAGAACGTATCTAGCTGTTCTAACTTCACAGTAACTATAGCTCCTTGCGTTTTCTTATCTTTGGGAAGGAGAAAAGATACGTTCTTTTCTCTGTAGATCGTGGGAGCAGATACGTTCACTTATCCATAAACAGGGAGTATTATTAATTTACTGTCCTTACTTAATACGAGGTGAAATGCGATCTTGTGAATCTAGTTAAGGAAGGGAAGATACATTCACACTTACGACAGAAACAACGATGGTCGAGAATTAGTCATAGCGGGTCTAGTCATACGCCCATCAACTCAAAGAGACATGGTTCACGTGAAGATTAGACACCCCAGCATATATTACCTAACGATTAAACGCCCTAACGATACTCTTAACCTAACCCCACCATGTAGAATTAGGCTCTTTAATCATCAGTAGAATTAAACTTGGGTACCTATAACCTTCAGGTGATCCAAAGAAAACTCCCTCAGATGGGTAACACACTCTCAGTCAGTCAGTAAGAGAAGCCTGATTTTAATTTGACTTACGGAGCTGAAAAGTTAATCTTACTAACGTCTCTGAAGTTACTATAGATCTCCTCCCCATCCCCCTACCACCTCCTCTCCTTCCCCCTACTACCCCCTCTCCATCCGTCCCTATCCCCTTCCCCCTACTATCCCCTCCCCATCCCTCCCTCCCCCTCCGACTATTACAAGGAAAAAAACATTGAATTAGCAATTTTTCCGCGGAGTCTGACCGTCTTGGATCCATGGAGAGCCGGATATCGTCAGCAGAACCTCCCTCGAGCCTTCTTCCGGCCTCCCACGACCGGCCCCTCGCTGACCTAGCCGGCCAATGCATCCCCCCCCCCCTTCCCCCCCCCCCCCAACCCCTAGGTATCTCCAACCTCACCCGGATACTATAGAAAGAAAACTTGGGCGTGTGGAGGGAAGGAGGGCGTAGGGAGGGAATCAACGATGAGAGGGAAAAGTGATTGAGAGGGAGGGAGGGCGTGGGAGATAGTGGATGCTGGGAGAGGGAGTATATTATTATTATTATTATTATTATTTTCAGTTGCTCTTGAAATATAAGTTTTTTGTTGTTGTTGTTGTTGTTGATCAATAATACGATCCATTTTAGAATATTACCAAAATGAGAACCGTTTC